AGATAGTTGAAGAATCTCGGGGACACTGTTTTTTGCAAATTATCAATTTTATGCGAGTCTTGGCTCCAATTATAAGATTATTAAATTCAAGAAGGCTGCCCTTTTCAGACTGTCGAGAACGGAATTCTTCTAACGACTACTGACTAAAATATAATCAGTCCCATTGGAATGTTGATTATGTGCGGAGTTCCACGTGTTTTTCGATGCCGGAAGCATATACTAGTGACTAGTGAAATTTCATGCTGTTCGACAAAATAAAGAAAGTTTCTCCATTAGCGCATCGTGTTATCTTTGCCATTTACCGAGTTCATCATGGCTGTATTATGACCTACGCACTCATTCCAGTCTCCCTCAATTTTGACCATCTCATTTTCGTTCCGCATAAAACTTGTCCTTATCGCAATTTGCATATGCAATGATGAAAAAATATTGAAGAATTTTCCTTTAAAAGTGACCATAGACTAAAGCTGTAAGATCAAGTTATAACCCATTTTGATAAATCTCAGTGGTAACTGGGCTATCCTGATCAATCAACAATATTAAAATTTTAATATTGTTAATATTTTAATAATTTTAAAATATTAACTGATTTTAATCATTTATTTCTTGGTAATTTTTCGTCTTTCACTAAGAATCAAAAAGTTAGGCTTGAGTTTTATATTGGTAATCTATCGAATTTAAAAAAAATGTAAATTTATTTTAGTTTCAATACAAATTTTTCTTTCATTATAAGGTATCCGAAAAAATTGAAGCACCATTAATCGCTGAAACGAATTGTGAATCGAGTCGTTTTATCGCATCAGGACGAGAAGATATTGACGTTAGAATGTTGGGATATGGTAGACCGTTTGCAGTACAGGTTTAATTTCGATCACTTTAGGTGTATTATATTACTGACTTGTAGATGATACAAAAGATTTAATTAATGTAAAACTCCTTTTGCAGTTAATAAATCCTCGGTTAACAAAAAACTTTCATGGATCTTTACTTAACGATACTCTTAAACGCTTAACGGTGGAAATTAACAAAGACAAGGACATACGACTTCCATGCAATTTACAAAAAATAAATGACAAGGAACTAAACATCTTAAAAGTAGGCCAAGATGGTAACTTATTTCCTTTTTCTCGCATATTTTTATATTTTGCTATTTTTGATATTTTTTCTTTTCTAAATGCGTTAACGATAAAAGCTGTGAAATATAAAATGACTTTTCACATTTCTTTGCGCAGTTTTCGCCACTGAACCAAATGCATTTTGCTAGAAAATTATACATCAAAAGAATTACAAGTCGGCATCATCCGAATTTTGAAAGATATGTTCGCTCCTATTTGGTTGAGAATCACAGCATTGGCTTTATTTTAGTGTAAATGAAAATAACCATCTGAACCATTCTACCTTTTGATATTTTTTAAATATATTTCAGAATATTTGAAAGATATATTTAAAAAAATCCTCGAGTCTGCTGATTTTCTTGTATTAATTAAATGAAGAACTTTCAAACTATTAGCATACCACCTTATACCACCTTATGACTTATACCACCGAATTCTGTATTTTCCAAATTGATATTTTCTCATTTCCCAATAAATAATTTTTTGCAGAAAAACGAAAATGTTACACTGCGTATTGTTATTATACGCAAAAATTATGCGTCGATTTAATGGAAAATCTTCAGTGCAAAACTCCTTTCCAAATTATTCAAAAAACACCTGTTCGAGTTTTAAGGAGGCGTCCATTACTTGACAGGATTCGTACAATTTATAATTTGCATTTGCTTATGTTGGACGATTTCCACTTTTTGATGAGGTGGCATTGCTTTTAATTAAAAAATAAATTTAATTTAAATTAAAAAGAAATAAATTAATTACAAAATTATAAATATTAAAAAGTATAAAAATGAATAAGAATGTGATAAGAACTGTGCGAAAAGTTTTAGGATCGAGACCCAAGCAGGAACATATGTAAAAGAATTCGTTCATGGTGATTTTGGTCGGACGAGACCATCACTTGCTGAACTTTTGAAAGTGGAAAGTGGTGAAATGGATATTTTGCAACTGGATGTTGAGAAGGTCGATATGGAATGGCCTCCACGAATTAATTTGTTAGATTAAACTAATTTGTCAGCAAATCTTAAATGTTACTGATAAACTGGTTATTTTTTGATGTAAATACCAATGGTTGAAGTATACTCGTTTATTGAAAATTCTTTCAAAGTTAATTAAGGGAAATTTTAAGGGAAATTCAGAAGTCATTTTTGCTGCTTGAAACTGTACTTTATTCACATTTGTTTTTAATGAGGAGCAAATAAGATCATATGCATAAAAAGAAAGAAATAAAAACAAATTGAATAAATAAAAAGGAACAGTTGAAAACTGGTACAATATTCATTTGTGCGATTGATTGTACTGTAGATACTCAAGAGGTGTGGTAAATCTGTCCAGAGCCTCACAGGTTCTAAATACGTCGATGGAGAGTTTGGAGAGTTATAGAGATTGAGAGAAGACGCTAGATAATGTATCGACAACTGAAGCAAAAATGAGTCTGGGACTCGATGTAAATATAACAGTCTTTTCGTCTTATATACCTGACGTTGAAAAATATTTATTTTTATCAATTCATCACGAAGTGAAGGACTGAGGTGAGTGAAAAAAATGACTTTGAGTATCATGGATACACTCGTGCGAAATGGTCGAGCAAAAGATGAAATCGAAGCCTGGATAACCGCAGCAAGAAATGCGTCCTTTCATCTCACATCTATCTGACTGCAATGCTAATATATAGCCTGCGAAACTACTGGAAATGGAAGATATTAGGTGGATTTTTTGATGATTTGTTTAAAGCATGTTTTACATGTTTGCCGTATTGTCAAATAATTACATCCTTCTTGATTCAAATACTAACTGCATTTAATATAATTATGAAGCCTACGCTGGTTAGATGCATTTTTCGCCGTTCATCGCAGCATATTTCTAAGCCCTATAGTAGACATCAAAGATTGGACTGGTCAAGACTTGGATAAGAACATGGCCTAATCAGCGCTTGAGAATCAGACAAAAAACTAATACAAAAGTTTTGAACGTATAGGCTTACATGAATTCGAATAATAAATAAAGGAGTGGTTTCAGTTATTTTCAGGTATGGTGTCGAATCGAGGTCCTTGGAAATATCTTACGCTAATCAATGGATTCGACCAAATAATCAATGTTATTAGAAAATGTAAGCATATTGTTGAAATATTCCCAAGGATTTGAGAGAGCTTTAGATCCCTCTTGGTCCAAGAGATATCTTGATTTCTCTTTTGCCGCCATCCAGAGTTTAGAAGTTAGCGAAATGTGCGCCAGTTTCTGGACCACAAAGAACTAACCAGCGCTTGAATTTAATGCAGAAAATATTCGAAACAAAGTGAATGTAGTCGTGGTAATCTCTGTCCGTATGATATGTACATAGGATTATCTAAGGCAGAAATGGTCAAAGGTTAACAAGTTCTGATATCTTCTGCTATCATTGGCCATAATAGGATTAGTTTATTCTCAGTCTATTTCCACCATGATTGAGTCGTTCTTCATTAGAAATGTTATGCATAAATTTCTGCGTAAAATCCGCTTTTAACTAGACCATCGCATAGCATAAGCACTAATGACCGAAGTATTACCTTTGAAGCAGCGTAAGCCATCCAGTCATTAACAAGATTCTTTGGAATGGCAGTCGGGTTATCCGAAACGTGAATAGTTCTTATAGTTCTAATAGTTCTTCTCAATAGTTCTTACTGTGAATAGTTCTTATCCAAACAAGGTATAGTCACTTTTGTGGATTAGGAAGATGGATTTTCGAAGGGTATTTAATGTCCGCACGATATTTTTATAAGACAATTATGGTTATTGTCTAACTTCCCTATCCATAAGTATTCTGGCATATATTCTGACACATATTGTTGTGTCTATGCTTCAGGTTTACATTTGTCCGACTTTCTTAACTGGGTTGTAGAAATTTCCTCAGGTCGAGAAGTTGATCATTTATTCTTATCACTATTTTCATTTTCAATTCGTATGTTTATTGCACGGAATTGAAGATACATATGGATCAGAATACGCGGGCACTGATTAAAAGTCATTTGGATATAAAGATATAAGTTCTTAAAAATAAATATTTATGGTCTTGCAACAATGTTCCCAACCAAAAAACAATGTGCAAATTTAACCACAATTTTCATAAGGTACTAAATTAAGATTCAAAAGGTTACTTGCAGTTAAGAATTTAAAAAGCTATTTGTATAAATTTGAGAGCCTGAAAGGAGCGATATGTAATAAGTTTTTTGATGAGGTATTAGAGGATTAGAGGAAGGAGATTTTTGACTAGGATGCGCAGATTAAGAAACGCAAAATAATATAAAGATTATCATTCGTTAACCATAATTGTTTATAAAATACTATAATAAATTTGATAAATGCAAAAATAAATTATTTCATGAAAGTCTTATACTTATTCGTACTTTAAATATATTCTCTAATGAGCTTAAGCTTATTTAAAAATTCTTCAGTTTATCAACTTAGCAAATTTCGTTTTTTTTTTCTAATTCCTGTCGGTTAATTTTGGTGGTCGGTTTATTTTTTTTCCATTCCACTTCCGGAAATTACAATGGTAAATGAGTTTTTTCAAATGGAAATCCTGATGGAATATTTTTTGTTAAATATTTGCGAATTAATGGGAATATTAATTTTGTCGCTTATTTGTTAATCATATTTTGTAATTTCGTAGTCTTTAAAAAAAAAAAAAAAACTAAAACTAACTAAAAAAATTAAAGAACAAAGAAAAATAATTGCTTTCATAGAATATAGTAAAAGAATAATAATGGATGAATTTTTCTTTGAACTGGGCTAAGAAATATTTTGAAATCAATTTTTACTCTTTGGCTCGTGAAGGAAAATTATTCAAGAAACGAGGACTTCGCTGTTATTTATTTTATGCTTTAAAATGTCAACTGTTCTGATGATCGCAGAAAAACCAATGCTCTCTGAATCTATTGCTCGTTTATTATCAAATGGCAAATTTCATAAAAGAAAAGGTAGGAATTTTTTAGAGCGTTTAAATTTTTGCGATTCTGCAAAGTATTAAAAAGCTTTGGGGGCAGTGGAGGGGGAATATTTCGAAGATGACTTTTCGAATTGTTTTCAGGATGGAACGGAGTGTGTTCAGTTTGTGAATACGATGGTCAGTTCAAAGGGAAAAATGTCCATTTCAAGGTATTGTATTTTTCAGGCAAATGATTAGAATTATTTATTTTTTGGAACTTTGCATCTTAATTTAATCAATCATAGTGGATTGATTCAGTTTTAAGTTCTAGATAACAAGCACATGTGGTCATGTAATGAACATCGATTTTCCGCAGAAGTACAATAACTGGGTGAAAGTAGATCCTATTCAATTGTTTACCGCACCAACGGAGAAGAAAGAAGGAACTCCAAAAATAAGAATGATTGAAGTAAAATCAATTAGTTTTTAAAATACTGTTCAAGCTATAAATAAATAATAATAATGGATGAATTTTTATCAATCTAGAAATTCTATAAATCTATAAATCTAAAATTCTAAATTTGCCAATTTATTTTTTTTCAAGTTCCTTGCTTCTGAAGCGCTTGGATGTGATTATCTAATTTTATGGCTAGATTGCGATAAAGAAGGAGAAAATATATGCTTTGAGGTATTTCTATAATATATAATATTATATAATTCACTAATCTAAGGAGATGAATTTTTTATGAATGGCTAAAATTAAATTTATAACGTTAAATTAAAATTATAACGTTAAATTATTTTGAATTACGCTAAATTTTAATAAGTTTTTATTAGGCTTTATTGTAGGTAATTGATGCCGTCAAAAATTCTATAAAATTACCTGAATCTGGAAATATAATGGACAATATTTACCGGTCAGTTTTTTATTTCTTTTATTTAAAAGATTTATTTCGCCATTGGCGGAAAAAATTCCGACAGTGAATAAAATTTTTATTAAAAAATACAGTTTACGATAATGATGAAAATAATTATTTAACAGATTCGAAGTAAAAGCGAATATGGTTAAAGAAAGTAGTTAATAAAAAACAGTGAAAGTAGACGAAAGCGAGTGGTTCGTTAATCCAAAAAAAAATCATACATACATGCTGGGAGCCATACATTGTCCATCTAAGTTGGACTTGCAAACATTATTAGATCAAAAATTACTTAAAAATTAGTTTATTTTTATCCAGGAGGAAATTTTTTCTCGTAGTTGTTTTTTGATATGTAAATTAAGATGGTTTTACAAATTAGCTAACAGATACATGAGCAAAGAAAAGAGGAAAAATAATTTTGTTCGATTTGCATATGGAATAGTTGAATGCTTATTCTGTGAAAAAACTTTATTAAAGAAATGTTTTTTCCTTTTTTTATGAATTTTTTAAAAATATTTTGTGAATATTTTCTTTTTTTTATGAATACACTTGCAATATTACTATTTATTTTATTATTTATTTTTTATTTTTTTAATTTCGGTTATTTTAAACAACCATATCGTTTCGTTTTATTATAAATATATAAGCAGAAATTATTAAAATTTTTCTTCTTTTCTTGTTATTCATCCTTTGAATTACAGTTTTTGTTTTTATTTTTTATTAACTGAAATTTCATTTTCATTTTGCATTGCCATAGATCGTTTTCCAGTTATTCCTATGTTTTTTTCCTTTAAGAGCACGCTTCTCTTCAATAACCGAAAAAGATATAAAAGGAGCTATGCGAAATCTGGTTCGGCCAAATTTAAATGAAAGTCTGTCAGTTGATGCTCGCCAAGAATTGGATTTGAGAATAGGGTGTGCCTTCACTCGTTTTCAGACACGCTATTTTCAGGTATGGTCTTTTTTTGCTGCTACCTTGGCTATAATGTTAAATATTTATCTGTTCTCTCTCGCAATAGGAATATTTGACTCTATGATGAAAGGATCTTCTTTAGTCCGCGTCCTCCAACGCACATGATACTCACAGCTCAGTGATACCTGCAATAAAAATGTGCTCTCGAGCCGGAGTAATTTCTCGAAATCTATCAAGGAAAATAGTTGTCTGCATACGCGGCAAGGTATTAGCCATAGCAGCGTGGAACCTTAGAATGATTTTTCCCGTTAAGCCAAACAATTGCTGTCCACACTCTTTTTAAATATAGTGTGGATGTCGGTCTGCTTATCAGAGGTCCGCATCACTTCGAGTCTCGTACAGTTACTAAATTTGTCTCCGAGCAATTACTATTTGCTTATTATTTGCCTTATCACTGTGGTATTTTAAATAATTCGAGACGAAATGGCATAGCAACTATCATCATGTCTGGAAAAGCCTACTCTGCTTTGGTTGAGTGGAAACCTATAAGCGACCTTATGACACCTATAAGCCTATAACCTATAAGCGACCTTATGCCTTTGCAGTAAAAATCATGCATATATAGCCTCCAATTTTATGGGTAGGTGACCGCGATAAGGATAGGTGGAACTTCAGCATCTCTACCGAAAAATAACATGGTCATAATTAAGTGGCAATGGTCATGGTCATAAGTGACATAATTGGCGGAGACTGGAATGAGCGCGTAGATCATAAATCTAAAGTGATCGAAATTAAACCTGTACTGCAAACGGTCTACCATATCCCAACATTCTAACGTCAATATCTTCTCGTCCTGATGCGATAAAACGACTCGATTCACAATTCGTTTCAGCGATTAATGGTGCTTCAATTTTTTCGGATACCTTATAATGAAAGAAAAATTTGTATTGAAACTAAAATAAATTTACATTTTTTTTAAATTCGATAGATTACCAATATAAAACTCAAGCCTAACTTTTTGATTCTTAGTGAAAGACGAAAAATCACCAAGAAATAAATGATTAAAATCAGTTAATATTTTAAAATTATTAAAATATTAACAATATTAAAATTTTAATATTGTTGATTGATCAGGATAGCCCAGTTACCACTGAGATTTATCAAAATGGGTTATAACTTGATCTTACAGCTTTAGTCTATGGTCACTTTTAAAGGAAAATTCTTCAATATTTTTTCATCATTGCATATGCAAATTGCGATAAGGACAAGTTTTATGCGGAACGAAAATGAGATGGTCAAAATTGAGGGAGACTGGAATGAGTGCGTAGGTCATAATACAGCCATGATGAACTCGGTAAATGGCAAAGATAACACGATGCGCTAATGGAGAAACTTTCTTTATTTTGTCGAACAGCATGAAATTTCACTAGTCACTAGTATATGCTTCCGGCATCGAAAAACACGTGGAACTCCGCACATAATCAACATTCCAATGGGACTGATTATATTTTAGTCAGTAGTCGTTAGAAGAATTCCGTTCTCGACAGTCTGAAAAGGGCAGCCTTCTTGAATTTAATAATCTTATAATTGGAGCCAAGACTCGCATAAAATTGATAATTTGCAAAAAACAGTGTCCCCGAGATTCTTCAACTATCTTAAAAAATTCTTTAATAATGAGCGCATTTCAAATCGAAGCACCCGTATAATATAAATATCAACAGCTTTTCTGGAACTGCAGTTAAAAATACTGGTCCAATTAAAGAGATGTCCCCGAAAATCAACCACTTTTACGCCAGGATATACTAATAGGAAGTGAAATAGTTGGGTGTCGGAAGCAATTGTCCAACTGTCTGAAAAAGCTGCTAAATTACGAATGATTCAGTAGATTCTGGCTAACGGATGTCTCGTTGTAAAAAGATAGCAGCACGGTGGGATACAAATCGTTATTGGGGTGATATGGTCTTGAAAAGTAAGACGGCGAATCGATTAAGCGATAATAAGAAACTATCCCTTCTTCATATAGCAACCAAAATTCGGGCAATAGTTATTGAAATGGTACGGGATAATGATATACCTGTTAAGAATCACCTCGCAAGATGGAAGGAATTCTTTGAAACCAGACTTAATCAGGATATGCCGTCTGGTGTCCTGGACATAGCTGATTCGCTTGCGCAGCCATACATTTTTGTAACTGCAAGTCGCCAACCATCAGAAGAGGAAATAATCTTTGTTATCCACAAGCTTAAAGCCAATAAAACTCTTGGAAAAGACGGTGACCTGAGCTCTTTAAGTATCCTTCGTTCATAATAAACTTTCAACAAATGTGCTCTCTCTGGTATATGAAGAAAGAAATAATACCAGATGACTGAAGCAAAGCAATTCCCAGTTCTTAAGAAAGGTGGCAGGACATATTCTGATACTTACCGAGGAATCAGCTTACTGGACGCATATATCAACGCAGGTCTATAGGGAACTTATAGACCTATTCGAAATAAAAACTGTTCTGTCACTACGTCAAGGTTACGTCCTTTTCCATACAATATTTAATTCTTCGATAAACCGGATAATGGAAATCGCTTGTCGAAATTCAAGAATTATATAAATCCGTCCAGATTTTATTATAGATCTTGAATACGTTGATGATCGTGTCCTTTTTGCTGACGGTTATGACGAAATGTAAATAATCCTAAACATTACATCAGCGCCTGCAGCAAAAATCAAGCTTAGGGTCAATTTAATTTATACAAAAAGTTGATAAAATGTCATCGATTTATTGCCGGTTGAGGAAGTGTCAGACTATAAATATTTTTGGATCCATTTTAGTGTCTGAAATGGCGTGACAAAATACGAAATCACAGCGATAGTTAGAAGTGCGTTCTTCTAGTCGATAAAACTTTTATCGTTACAAAATCACTATAAAAACGAATTCTGCGTCCAAATAGCTGCAATTCGCTCGATCTTGCTATATACCTATGAGACATAACTAGTGGGGAATATTAAGAGGCTATCAACCTTTGACTACTCATCTCGTTGTGCGTAGTTAAAGTGAATATTGCCTATATTAGTGCCATCATAGAGTCCTTTGCTGTTTGGGGTATATTTCTTCATGATCGATTACAATAGTTGACATATATTAGTATATCGAACTTGTTAAACTCAATGATGGATAGCGTCAAAAGCGAAGAAGGCCAATCAAAATCTGAACTGATATTGAGCCAGAAAAAATTTTGAAAAAATGAAACAGGGATATGAATTAGACGGTGGGAAAAGGAATGGTTTCTATCAGCGGTGGCATCAGGTCGAGTAGCTTGGAACCTCTTATTCTTATAGCCAGTGCAGCAGCCTAACCAGTAGTGACGAGAATTTAGAAGAAGAAATGGAGCCAGATTAGCTATAGTTATGAAATAAACCCACTGTTCGTTATTGCTCTATTGTATATTTCAGGGAAAGTATGGTGATCTCGATAGTTCTTGTATTTCATTTGGACCTTGTCAAACACCCACACTTGGTTTCTGTGTTTCACAGTATGACTCCATTATGCAGTTCAAGCCAGAATTATATTGGACAATTCAAGTAGCGAATTTTTATCGTTTTTTTCTTTTTAGTTTCAAATAATTTTTGGCTTACTATTGTTAAGCAAATTTAATTTATTACCATAATTTTTGTCATTTTAAATTTAGCAAATATAATAGGAAACTTTTAGTCGATTTTTTATAGCTCAAGTTTTTTTCCTTTTTCCTTTTCAGTGTATTTTTGAAATGAGAGGCCAGTTATTAAAGCCTACACATCAAAGAGGGAAAATTTTCGATCGAGAAGTTTGTCAACTTTTTTATGAGATAATCAAAGTATCTTTTTAATTTTCCATTTTAACATTTTAATTAATTTTAATTTTTTATTAAATAATTCTGTTCTTTGCTTTTTTTATCGGAAAAATAAATAATCTGGATAATAATAATTGTTTTTGAATAATCTGGATAAAAGTAAGAGTGCGTTTTAAAACAATTCAGTTCAGTTAGAGCAGATTTTAATTCTTAGAAATGTAGCAAAGGTGTTGTTAGTGATGTTACCAGAAAAGAAGGACACAAAAACCGCCCTTGTGCACTAAATACAGTGGAAATGTTACGTGTCGCAAGCAGTGGACTTGATATTAGTCCTTCTTCTGCTATGGCCATAGCAGAGCATCTATATATAAAAGTTTTTCTTTTTTTCATTGCTTTTATTTTACTTATTTGATATTCATTAATGCCACTATTACAATAGAACCGTTTTCTTTTTTGATTAAAAATCTTTATACATTTTAATTTAGGGTTTTATTTCATACCCACGCACAGAAACTACTGCATATTCTTCCAATTTCGATTTTATAGAATTACTTGAGCAACAGCAAAATGATTTAAAATGGGGTGATCTCGTAAAACAAGTAATTCTTTATTAAAGTTTGTTAAATAAATCAAGGCTATTGGTGTAAATTAATTATGAATCTTTTTCCACCATTAAATAATTTTGTTTATTTTCAATTTATTTTTATTTATTTTCAATTCGATGAATTTTATCTAATAATTTTCTTTTTTTCATTCGCTTACTTTCTATTATTTTTTAGTTGCTTCGTGAAGGTATATCAAAACCTCACTCTGGTGATGATAAGGGTGATCATCCACCTATTACTCCAATGCGTCCTAATGATGGTTCACTCTCTGGAGGTTTTGAACTTAACTTTTTTTTAGTTTTTTAGTTTTCAATTTTTCAAATTTTTGATAAATTTAAAATTTTTCTTTTGTTTGAATATTGGTATTCCAGATAATTTAAAACTATATGAATATATCACTCAACATTTTATCGCCACATTAATGAAACCATGCAGATATTTTTCAACTACAATTAAGTTAGTTAATGGCTAGCGTTCCATTATTTTATTCCCATTAATCGTGGTCACTGCTTTGTTAACAGCATTATTAATCACTAAAAATTTATAATTTATCAGGTGTTTAACTGAGAATTTTTAGAATAATTGCAAATGAAGAAATCTTCACAATAACAGGGAAAGCACTAATTGATCCTGGATTCACTCTGGTGATGAACTGGCTTGCAATGAGTGAAGAATCGCCTTTGCCTAATTTGCAGATTGGTGATGAATTGGATCTAAAGTAATCTTTTCGATCAATTCCAACTGTGAAGTAAAATTAATTGTTCATAAAGAATAATGATGATCTTCATTTTGTGGAAAAAAAAGAAGCTAATAAAAAATAATATTAATTTATAAATACAACATATATAAACGAAATTTTATAGAGGGAAATGATTTATTCACTGATGAAAAATAATTTGAGCTGCTTTCTTAAATTTTCCAAAATTATTCGTCAATATTTCAATTCTTATATTTATAATTTTTATATTTACATTTTATGGCCAGATTATTTTCCATTGGCTTTTTCTTCCCATATAGTCCATATTAATATTTATGAATATTTTTTTTTAGAATTAAATTCTAATTGGTTAAGGTTAAATTCATTCTTTATTTTTTAAGAGATGTTGCAATAGTTGAAAGGTCAACAACACCTCCAGATTATCTCTCTGAATCGGAATTGATTACTTTAATGGAAAGGCATGGAATAGGAACTGATGCTTCTATTCCTGTCCATATAAATAATATTTGTCAACGGAATTATGTTACTGTATGTTACTGTATTTATTTTATTTTTATTTTTTTACCATGGTTTGCCATGGTTTCTGTTTCTGTTTCAATTTTCCTGCTGTAATTTTTGTAATATTGTATTTAGGATACTTCTGTTTTAGGTGAAGTCAGGTCGGCGTTTAGTTCCAACTAAACTGGGAATTGCTTTGGTCCACGGATATCGGAAAATTGATCCGGAACTAGTCTTACCTACAATGCGAGCAGAAGTAGAAAGCCATTTAAATCTTATTGCGAAAGGTCTTGCCGATTTCTCATCAGTTTGTTTTTGATATCATTTTCTATTAATTAATTATTTATCATTTTGCATTATTTTAGATTCTACAATAATTTTTGGTTTTAAATCTATTTGTAAAAAATCTAATATCAAATCTGAATCGACCATAACTTTTTCCCATGCCATTTTGATTCCTTAAAATAATTATTTGTCGTGTTAATTGTTATGCTTATCAATGTTCTGCTAATAAAAGATATTTTTTTAGGTTAAAAATCATATTTTGGAAAATTTTCGAGCGAAGTTTTTGTATTTCGTTACGAATATATCACTGGTTGATTCGCTTTTTGAAGGTTTTTAATTTTTCAATTCTATATCAAAAAAAATTATAAATAGGTTCAATATATATTATGCTTCAAAGTGGAAAAAATGAAATAATGAAAATTTACTGAATACGGCCGAAACTTTGCAAGATAAAGGATGGTTTTTTCTTTTAGCTATTATTTTTTATGGGGAAATTTCAATTATTTCGAATTGCTTTTGATTTTTTTTGTAAAAGATCGAAATTGCAGATTCCTTCACAACTTTGGCTCAGTCCGGTAAGCCTTTTACCTGTTGTGGCAAGTGCAGGCGTTTCATGAAACTTGTTGCATCAAGGCCTCAACGTTTATATTGTCCAAACTGTCAGGTACTATATATTATATCGTTGAATTTTTTTCTCTTGCCATTTCTGGTTAGGCTGACTGTGCTGACCTGGCAAATTTTGCCAAGGAGTCATTTGCTTATAGAAATGTAGGTAGTTTTAAAGCAACAGCGTCAAAATTTTTGAAAGAGTTACTTGATTTAAGCATAGAACCCTCAGTATTAGCTGTTCGAAGTGAAAGCAATGTCCCACTGAACCATTTTGCCCGTTATTGTTGAACTTGTACATAATTTCATCTATAATTTTCTTTTTTGTGTATTTTTTAGGACTTACTGTGATCGAATAATTATAATATTGTTAGGAAAAAATCGTTAGAAAATAGCAAAAGAATGCGATTTGATTTAATAGATAACAGAGGAAAATGACGTGCGCTATAGTCAAATCTGGGAGGGTGGTTTAACTGGGTGGTTTCTTAAATTCTAGTAGGATTTAACAATTTAAGAAAAAATATTTCAGCTCATAGTTAGACTTTCTGCCTTTTTGTCTAAAATTTCGGACTTTGTGACAGTGGTCATCTTCTGATACAGATATACTAATATTATAAGATTTTAATACTTTCATTTTTTTTCATTTTTCTTAAGAAAGGTGAAGATTTTCCAGACATTTTGTGGGCTTGCCAAAACTTGGTCTATTTTATCGTGCTTTTTCCTGTTTTTTTAGGATACATATTCTTTGCCGTCTCAAACGGATGGAATTATCAAATTATATGCCGAAAATAAGTGCCCTCTTGATGGCTTCGGTTTGATTTATTGGCAAGGGAGTAGTGGTGATTACTATCTATATTTTCATATAAAAATATTAGCTTTTTTTTTGACAGTTTTTCTGAAAAAGAACTGAACTCATATCTTTTTTAAATGGAATGGGTTAAAAAAAAAGAAAAATTTTAAACCATTTGTCAGGTATTCATTTATGAGTCTGTTTCTTAATTTTGTTTTACAGAAATTAGAAAATGGAAATTGGAAAAATGTCTTAATTTATTAAAGAAATTTTGTAAGATTATAAAAATTTCAGGTAAATACCCTCTTTCTTTTGCATTTTGTCCTTTTTGTTTCAACAATCCTCCGTTCGAAGGAATGAGAAAAAAAGATGGCTGCAATGAATGCCCACATCCTACATGTCCACATTCTTTTATGTAATTTTCATTCTTGAAAATTTATCAAAGTATGGGAATTTCGAATCTTATTTCGAAAATTGGGCGATTCATGTAACAGTATGCATTATGTGATTATATGTGACTGAAAAATATGCTACCGCCACTTCAAATATAAAGTTTTTTTTCGTACTCATGTTGAAACCCTTTTATCAGCCAAAATTTCCACATAATTCCAGACTTCATTTAATATAACCAACATCCTTAAAAATTTGTTTCTTTTTTGGCTTCATTTTAATTCTGTCCAATTCAATTTTCTAACTGCTTAATATCATCCACTCCTATTATATTCGCATTCCTCAGAATTCACAATGCAGCCGCTGTGACAAATTATAAACTCGTAAAATACATGAAAGTGATATTGAGGGATGTAGTGGACTGAGAAAAACGAATAAAAAATTTTGGGAACTTGCTAGAAAACAGATAGCAGGATTCGAATGGGTTTTATTTGAATTTAGTGAACTTTGAGCAGATCCAAGGAATATAGGATTTGAAAACGGTTTCACTTGTTTAATGATGAAGATGAAGTTTAAATAATAACTTTTGATCATAGTTCTTTTCATTTTCGCTGGTAATCTATTTTATGGCATTAAAAATAGCCCACTTTGAATCGCAATGGTATCGATGCATAACTGCTATCTCTTTCCATTTTTCACCATATATCGCGTCTCCATTAGGATTTTGATTGTCAAAGAGTACTCTCATGAGTCGTCCTTAATTATGACCATTCTGCAATCTAATTATGATTCAGCTTGCTTTTTTCGCGCTATATATTTATAATATTGTGAAATCGTCTAGGACTCAGGGCGTTGCAAGGTGTCCTTATTGTAAGATTCGTAATGGCATATTGGTTTTCGATCCACAGTCTGGACCAAAATGGCGTCTTACCTGTAACAAATGCGGAGCTATGGTCAACATTTTTAAAAATGCTCAAAAAGTCAGAATTTCCGACAAGCAGTGCAATGAATGTTCAGCTCAGTTGATAATAACGGAATATAAGGTCCTTTTTCAATAAAAACGTGCATGAATACCTATGATAGGGTCTATGAAGAAATATGAAAATGAAATGTTTTATTTAACCTTTTTTACCTTAAATGTTAACCTTTTTTCTTTTTCTTCTCCAGTCTTATTCACCTACTATTTCATTTTTTTTCTATTTTCGTTTTTTCGCACCATACAATCTTAGAGAAAATTCCTCGCAGATAAAACAAATTTTTTCATTTTGTTTTCTTTTATAAAATTCAATTTTAGGATAAATCGCTTTTACCAGGAGACAAAACTTTGTACAAAGGGTGTGTCTTTTGTGATCGAAGTATATCAGATCTTGTTAATTTATCTCAGTTAAATAAAAGTCACGAACCCAAATCTCTAAAAAATGTGAATATATCAACGTCTAATTATACACAATTGAATATTAGACGAGATAAACGTTCTGTTCATCGAGGCGCGAAGTTTAATAGGACTGAAAGACCGCGGTTATTGAAATATGCCAATGGATTTGGAATGAAATCGAGCTTATCAAGTTAATAGTTCCGTTTCATCATGATAACATGAATAAATTTCTGTGAAATTTGCATTAAAACTTATAATCTTGCTTTGGCATTTTTTAAAAAAACAAGCAATATTTAATATTTTTTCATATAAAAATTTTTGAATATTTTAGAGAAATTTTTAGAAATGAATACTAAAACAAGTTTCTTTCTGCTTCAATTATTTATTTATTTAAAATTTACTTTATTTTGGCTATCTGGGTGTATTTGATATTTTTGGTGCAAGTTGGATTTTTTTCAACAAAATTTATTTTCGATTTTACGGATTTTGTCACGATTACTTGGATAAATTTCTGTGAAATTTGCATTAAAACTTGAAACCTGCTTTGGCATCTTTTAAAAAACAATTCAGTGTTTTGAAAACAACATAAAGAATTCTTCATGAGAACCTCCATTTCACTTAAAATTCAAGCCCTTGTGAATGTTTGAAATTAGCCCCTTGGTATGAACGAAAATTTGCAAGTAATTTCTATTTCTATAAAAAAATATTGTTTTTGATCTTTGTTATGGATTTTTCTCTGTAAACTTTTGAATCCTTCATTTTGTTTGTTCTATAGCGTAGTATTTGATCACCGAAATTTTCAAAATTGCAACTGTTCACGTAAGTAAATGCTAAAATCAACGCACTCTTTTAGATTTAGTAAAGAGATTTCATAAATTGTATGAACTCAGATATTCAATTTGAATATTAAAAATTGTTTAATTGAAACTGCAAATAAGAAAAAAACAATAGAGGTGAACAAACAACGGTTCCCGGCAACTGCCTTATTTTTGATTTTCGTATGGCTTTTTTATGTGCATTTGCATTTCACTTTCTTATATTGAAGGATAAAGCGTCTGTTTAAAATTACTCAGTTTTTTACAAATTTTGGAAATTTTAGAAAGAAATTTTAAAATTTTTTTTGATTACAATTTTTAACTTTTCTTACTGCCTTGGTGCTATTGCGAATCGTATTCTCTGCGAAATGCTTTTCTCACCGACGGGGGTGGGAAAAATGCGTGGGTCATCCTTAGTCTCGAGTCCTCTGCCTGAGGACTTGGCAGCTCCGCGTGATATTTTAGTTGCTCCTAGTGCTCTTACGGACGGAGGTCGCTGATTCCCACAGAGCTATCTTGCCGGAGCTATCTTTCCAGTTTAGCCACTTTTGCTCCTGCCATCACTGGTGCTGCCTTGGCCTTCATTTAGTTTTTAGCGCATGGTATTTTCTTAGCTCCTCATATTCCTTTTTCCTGATGTCATTAGACTGATCTGAAATTGAACCATTTCTAAATTTTGCAATCGCAGGTTCTTCTTAGAATCAGCCTTATCATTCAATTAAGAAAATCCAATTTGTGCTATAGTCTGAGTTAATCTTAATCCAATAAAATCGTGAAAAAATTCCTCCACCATTGTTTTCAGCAAATTTGTGAAAGACTATTCAAAGATAAGTGAAGGACAACAATTAATTATTATGTTGCAGAATACATACACCGAACTTATCATTTATTTATAAGTAAATGAGGCGAAGAGCAACTGGCACCAAGAAAGTGCGGTAGCAAGTGTAGTAAATGTAGTATGATTCAGTTTTTTAATTTATTTCTTTCGATTAACAGTTCGAGTTGAGCTGTCTCGTTGAACCAATGAAATTTGCCAGCGATTCGCCTGGTAAAGGACAATCGGGAGTAGAATCCTAGGCTCATCGGTGCTCCAAAATCGCACCAACAACATCCACTGAGCCACAGTTTATCATTTCTTCAAAAACATCAAAAACCGTGGATCCATTTGGCCGTGGATCTTAAGGCGAATGAATGGTGATTGAGGAGTAAAGGAGATGTTTGCCCTTTATTCATTTTTATTGGTCTGTAATAGTCTTTTTTTAAAGGTTTGCAGTATTTCTGGCTGCTGAATCTGATCCTTGCGCCAGAGGTTCACTTGAGGCAGCAGTAAATCCGCACCACCATCTCAATTTCGCTTCATTGTCAGGTTTATTTCAATTATGAGGCAATGATCCATGGTTCTTTATTATTCCAAGCTTTATGCCACTTAGCTTTTTTGTCGCCATTACAATATTTTAATTTTAAATAAGGAAAATTGATTGGTCGATATTTTGTTAATTAATAAATTTGTCATCGATTAGCGTTAAAAATCTTGTTTAATCTTGTTTGAAATCTTGCTTTTTTGCAATCAATTTGTAAATAAATCAATTTGGACTTAAATGTATTTTATCCAAAGGTGAAATGTCATTATTGCCTAATTCGACAGTTTTAATTGATCATTTGCAAAAGTTTTATGATGATTTGCCGCAGTGGGGAAAATTCGCTTTTGCCGGATGTATCGCTGTTGTCGCCTATGTTCCGTATCGTTATATTACGACACTGCCAAGAAAAACACCTATAAAAGCTGATTATAAAAAGGGTTTGTTTGTTTTCTTTCTTTCTGAGCTTTATGGTATTAAAACCGAGGACGTAGCATGAGTGGCATATCGTTTCAACTAAACTAAACTACGCTTCAAAATAAGTCCGACTCCTCTTTTTTGTGCAGTTAAAATTGTCATTTTTTAATAAAAGCTCAGGCTAAATGGTAAGGATAAGAACAAAGGTATAGCTATATGTGATATCGAAGTAGCAACTGGCATGAAGAAAACTTTTTAAAAGAAATTTATCAATTTATCTTCGCTTCTAATAACTGATCAAGCTGATTTCCTTCGCTGTAAGGGTGAGGCTATTTTCAAGGCTTTTCATCCGATGCCATTGTAAAAATAAAAATTCTTTTTTCTTTTTCCAGTATCTATAGCTATAATTCAACGAGGCAGCTGCCTTTGTGTTTAAGATTATGATATAATTTAATAGAATATCTTGTTTTTCTATTAATTATTAATGAATATGTCTTTAAATTTGTACATAATGATGGATAGTAAATGACAAAATATAATTTAGACGTTGCATATTTATATCAATTTCCACGTTTCAAGTATGTGCCAAGTATGTCACCATTCTGTTTGAAATTAGAAACTTGGTTACGTATGGCTGAGGTCAACTATGAAGTTTGCTTTTTTTGTAGTATTTTCTTCGACGTTATAATTCTCTTTTTTATTATTTATTTTGCAATCAATAGTAAAGAAGGTAGTCTAAATCGTTAAAAAACTCAAAAGAAATGAAAAAAACCGTAAAAACGAATAAATTGATTATGAAAACGTTATAAATTGCATGAACTACATTCTTTCCGGAAAATTATATATATATATATTTATTCTATATATATTTTTTCTCATGTCTTCATTTTTATTCCTTTTTTCTCTTTCACCATCCTTCATTAGAAATAAAAGATCTCTATAAAAAAAAATATGAAAAAATAGTGAAAAATATGATATAATATAATTTAATAAGAATGTAAGGATAGAATATGAAAAATGGCGAATTATGGTGCCATTGAGCGATTTCTTTTAGGAAAATTTTTAAATTTTAATCTTTTGTTTCGTTAAAAAAATATTTTTTTTTTGAGAAAAAGATTCTTTCAAAAGGAGTAAGTGTATTTTCTTCTAAAAATCATGTAAAAGTCCAGAAGTTGTTCGAAAAATAAATTTTAGAACGTTGATTGTGGATGGAGCATGCGTTCTCTTGAAGGGACTCTTCCATTCATCGAATATAACGGCAAAGAATATCCAGATTCTTCTTTTGCTATTCGGTAATTTCAGAAATTAATTGTTTATTTGGTTAATTTGTAGCATTTATGGTCCAATGCTTATATCGCCAAGTTGACGAAAATTTCTTACCGGACGAAAATTTCTTACCGCAAAATATTTGCTTTCGTAGTGACCAGCCGAATGAGCCTAAATATAAATGTTTAACAAAATTTTATTTATTTATTTTTTCAGTTTCGCGGAAAATTATATAAATAAGTCTTGCAATGAGTCAGTCGTATTAATCGTATTTCATGAAATGTTTCTTCCAAAAAAATTTTTTTTAAGAGGGATTAAGAAAAGTCATTTTGGATTATTCTCGCTTTACCAGCAAGTTTGCTAGGGAGTCTTGGCGGTATAAATGAGTCGCCATCACCAGGATTAGATAGGATTTTCAAAATATAATATTGCTTTTCCTAAAATATTTTATATTTTATGAATTCATCAATTTAAGTATCATTGAAACGTTAAATTATTTTTTCATTTATTTCTCAAATTTTTGTAAGGAATCAAGGGTACTCTTGGGTAAAAAGTGAATAGCGCGGGTGAAAAGATTGCTGGTGCCCGTTCCTTTTTCTGTATTCCTCCATTCGTATCCTTTTCGTTACATTTCGTTATATTTTTCTCACCACTAATCCAATCGCTATTACCTTCCGTCGTTTTCCTGTAGTTTTGTAGAAATTTCCGTCTCTTTTCCATAATATTATGGTCTCATTTCAGCTCTAAATTCGATTGCTTTTCTCATTCGTCTTACCAATAAATGAGATTTATATGACCAAAAAGACTATTATTATAGAACTATTCAAGAGTTATTAAGGGAGAATGTCGAGTAGAAGTAGGTCTGTTAATCTTAAATGGATGAAAATTCCTTATCATCGAAAATATTTCAGAGATTTAACGGCGATTCTGTCAAAAGAAGGCATGGAAAGCCATTTAAATGATGAACAGCATTCATCGGCTCGTGCATTTGAAGTTCTAGCTGAACAATCATTAATGCGAGTTGTTGATTATATACGTTATGTAGAAAATATTGGAGAATTTTCGAAACAAGTCCCAGATGGCACTCTCGGAAATCTACAACCACTTTGGTTATGGTTTGCCAAAGTTTTTCTTCCATCAAAAGTCTATTTCTTTTTTCAAAAATTTAATCCACCTTTTATTCGAGAAGTTGGTTGCTTTGTTGTTATTTGAAAATGTAGTTCAAAAAAATTGGATTGTTTAAAAATTTATTTAACATTCTCTTCAGGAGCATTTATTTATTATTGTGATAATAGTATTATTGTGATAGAAGTGGAAAGGGTTAGAAGGAGAGGGATGGGAGTGGTGAACAATTCATAAGATTATCAGGAATATCGGATGGGTGAGAGGGACATATCTTTATTTTTTGCTACTTATTTTTGAGTTATTTTATAGACGGTTTATGATCATTCTTTTCTTTTCCTTTTAATTCAGAAAAAACTCATTTTGAGATGACAGAAACACTGAAAATTGTTGGTATTGGAAAACATAATCGTGAAGAGATTATTAATATTGGTAATGATGACTTGAGAGCGATTTCAATGTATCTTGATAGCAAACATTACTTCACTGGTTATAAACCGACTCGAGTACTTTATTTCACCTAATTTTTTTTTATTTCAATTTCCTGAAATATTAGAAAAACTCGATTTTATTATGTCTAATTTTTTATTGAACAAGGTGCTCGAATTATTTTTTGTTGCATTAAATATTAACAATATATCAAAAAAATATAAATTCAGTTCAGTGTCCTGGCGACGATAAGCCTTTTATAAAAAGCGAACTGAGTAGTGTTGCCTTGCACGTTTCTGTTTCCAAGAAATTCTCTGACAAAGGATCATCTTGATATTCTTGTGAAGCAAGCCAAACTGAAATGATGGGAGCAGGAAAAAAGCTTTTAGGCTTTCTTCACTGTATATTCGTACACAGGTTCTTGCTCAGATTAATCTTCATTTTTTTCGAGGTTGATGCGGCACTTTTCGGTGTTCTAGCTCAAATAGTTTATGCTCCTTATGAATTTCCGCAAAAGCAATTGATTCTTAATGAACTACACAATTTGCAAGATTACTGTGATCGAATAAGAGGTAAGCTATGGTACAATTTTTCGAAAATTTTCGAAGAAGATTTTTTTTCCGCCCATAACGCTCAAATTTATATTCTTTTCTTATTATTAACTCTTCAAAAAAAATTCAAGCAAAAAATTTTAAAAGCAGGGAACCGTGTAGCCGATGCTTTATCCAATATATTTTTTGAATTCTAAATTAAGGTCGATATTGGCCGGATTGGGAAGAATGTACTGAGAAATTTCGAATGAATTCAGATTGGAAGAAAAAAGTTTGATTGAAAAAAGTTTGGTTGGATCGATTTAATTTTTTTGTTCTTTAATGAAACAATAATAAATAATTGTTCTTTAATAAATTTTATCCAAATGTTCATTTTTTCATAATTCTCTTCATTTTTTTATTTTTTTTCACATTTCTTAATTCAAAATTCATTTAATTTGAAAATTATGTCGTAGAATGCGAAGTAATTTAAATTCGCAAAGAGGGATCAAACAATTTTTGAAGAAAGGAAATTTGAAAAATGAAATTAAGCTATGGTTTTAAACATCAGTTCTATTAGATTTTCGTTTTATCTGCCAAATTCTTTTTTGTTTGTGGTATCATAATTTCTCCATCAATTATAAGTTTTTTATATCCAGCAAGTTTTTGTCGCATTAACTCATAATCTTCTGGAAAATTCAAATTTTTAGAATTATATTATTATGATTAATCTGCTTTGATAATAACTATAAAAATTGCCATAATTCGTACATTAAAGCAGTTCATTCTTCCCAGCATTAATCTTTATTAAGGTTGACCATTACTTGATTAAAGCTTAGTTCCAAATAGAGTAATTTGTCGAAAGTGAAGAAAAGGAGAAAAAATGAGGTAAAATAAGGTGATGGTGGTTATTGTGCGGATAAATAATAAATAATAATTTAAATAATAATTTAAAACAAACCGGAGAAACTAAAGGTGAGAAAAAGTTTCTGGCTACGATCGATTATATCACGAAATTTGCTTGGACCTTTTAAGATACATCGACTTGATGTTCTGTTTGAAAATGTCTCAACATCATCGCCTAAAGATGCAGTCTTTTTATTTGCAGTTTGAACATTATGAAATACTTTTTTTTGATAGTTCTTCCCTGTAAGTTCATTTTAAAATAATTTGAAATTTTAGTTTCTGAACAGTATACGATTTTTAAACGTAATTTGTGAAATTATTATTGTAAATGCCTAGATAAATGTTATCAAAATATTTCGCCATAAAATGGTCTGCAAGAATAGTCGACGAGGTCATGAAAAAAAGTCATTACGTGAGTGGCTGCCAACGCGTAATGCCGAGAAATAAAAGTCATCTGGCTTTGGACTGCAAGGATCTGGATGTTCCTTCCCAATGCGTTTGCATTTAGAAGTAAATGACTATAATAAAGAATAATAATTACAACTATTCCGATATTCTATATTTCTGTATATATATTGTAAACGGTTGTTTCATCACTCTGCTCCTTATCTATCGATTGTATTTATTAATAAAAATTATTATTAATAAATAATATTTATTAATAAAAATTATTACTAATAAATAATATTTATTAATAAAAAATTCGCCAGAAACCTGTTTTTTTTCTTTTCCTCTTCCTCTTTTTTCTTCCTCTTTTTTTATTTCTTTTTACACTTGAATCTCCCTTCCAACTATTTAGTATAATTTGTAAAAGAATTTTAGTTGGTATTATATAAATTATTAATATTAATATTGTATATTAGAATTAATAATTAATATTAATAACTAATAAAATATTAAAAAAATGAATAAAGTCAATAAAATTTAAAAAATTTTTTAGCTTGATTGGCTTGATCAGAAAATCAAAAATTTGTTAAATCATTTCACTTATTTTTCCATGTTTTTCATAAAGCGTCTTAATAATTTCGAAATTGTCGTAATTACGATACTGAAAATTCGAGTGCTGAGAAATCATTTATATTCCCAAGTGATTCTTTTGGCGAAAAGATCAAATGAACCTCAGGCGTCTGTATGGTACGACGCGCTTAATCCTAATCGGATGGTGCATGCGATAATTGTATGAACTGGATTTAATGAATTAAAATGGATGTGATGTGCCCTCAAGGAAAATATGCAGTCTAAAACAAAAAAGAGTAAAAGCAAAATATGTTCTGCAAGAAAGGTACTGAATAATAATTAATAATATTAAAAGTTACTCTAAGAGCCAAGTTCTAGAGCTGAAAAAACGGATCTAACCCAGTTAAGGAACCGGGGAAACGTCTTAACAGGTTTTATATTCAGTGAATGCAAGGTCTTGGCTATAGCTACGTAAAGCGATTATGGTTATAGAGTCAAGCGACAATATCCAATTATCATGTGGATATCACTTGCCTATCGGAAGTTCATCTTCCAAATCCTGGGTCCAGAGCGGTAATTATACCCGCTGCGGATAAGTTATGCTGGCTGTATTATAGTTATATTATGTTTTATGCATATTTCAAGGAGAAATTGAAGGGATTGCGATTGTCCGAAACATGTGGAATAACAGTCGATTTATTTTTAAAGGACGTTCTACAGTATTTCGACCTTCGATTCAATATTTATTGCTCCATGCACTGATGATCTGCAAAAAGATAAATTTAACTCGCTATTAGCATTCCACTCAAAAAAACAGCATGATCATGGTCACTGAAGAATGCGATGCGCACACAGAACATGGTGCTATTTGAGTATTGTACTATTTCCATTTTGTAGCGCTAGAACATGGTCTGCTAGTGGAGAACATTTTCATTTTGCTGGAGAGCATTGACCACTGAGACCACTGTCTTTTTGCCACCAATACATTTTCTCTCTTCATTTCATAGAAAGCATCTAATTACATGGCTTTGCCAAGCTAACTATTTCACTTTCATCGAAGTAAGTTCTGCATTGTATAGCGATGCATATTGCGGAGCCGAAATTGACAACTCCACAGGTCGGACTATGTCATGGTTATGGTTAGAATGAAACTGACAAAGCATCTTCCAAAATCCTTCTGAAGTTAAAAATTCAGATGGCACAAGCTGAGGTTCTAATGTTTGAAGGATTTAAAACAACTCAGGCTTCCGATGAGCAATAGGTCCTAGCTGAACTCTTGACTCCAAAAGTCGATTGAATTCGTTCTAGGATACAACTAAAATGGCAAGCTGATCTCAGACGAAATGATCCAGTTGTCCGGCCGCACTGCTATTACATGTGTCTGGAAATACCTATTTCCTGTGCGATTTAGCTGATTTTGGATGAAATCTCTTTATCGGAGAGTTGCACATGAATTTTATTACAGCTTTCACTTAGCCGTTTTTACGCACCAACTCAAAGAATTCCTTACCAAATTTCGATTTCCATCTATTGTATACTTGATATATTCCGTTTTTTTTTCATTACTTCCGGATAATAAATCTATTTTTAAAAACAATGTTACATCGTCATTGTAAACAGGAAAAATATCTAAAATTTAGTTTAGATTATTACGAAATAATCATTAATTAATTGTTTATTAAATTTCTTAATTTCTTCTCCGTTTTTTCATAGGTTAGGAATTTTATCTGAAAATAATGCAAAAGTCTTCTTAATTATATTATTTATATTAAATTATATATATTATTATTATATATTATTTATATTAAATTATATATATTATTTGTAGGTAGAATTATAAACTGACAGTTTTCTGGATCGTATTCTCCATATAGGGTAATGTATGAACCAGACGAGGAAAAGTCGTGATTCAAGGTATGTCCCATAAATGTTTGTGCTCTTCTTGAATTAAGATAATAATTACGCTCTCCATAAATTCCCAGTTCATATCTAAATCTTTTTTATTGCTTATAAGATTAAAATTTGAGGAAACGCAGACTTCGAATGTCTCGGATCCACTCTAATCCCAAATGGTCAAGCAAAATCTGGATAACTGCAGCTAGAAACGTTTTCTTCCGGTTAACGGAATTTTTATGGAGCTGTTGCGAAATCACAATAATAAAAGTCTTCTATATAGCTGCAATTCGCTTCATCTTATTATATAGCAAAGAAATATGGCCAATATGGACAATGAGAGTGGAATATATTAGGAAGCTATTTTCCTTTGACTCATGTCTTAGAAACATTTTACTTTCGCTAAGAAAATAAAGTCTTGGATGAGATGACTTCATGTATCTATCTTTGCTCAGACACCATCTGCATTAATTTTATCATCCATCATAAAGGATTGCTTGCGGTGATTAGGGTACGTCACCCACTACAGGAGTTGATTACATATTTCATGACTTGTTAAACTCTGTGATGAATGGCGTCAAAAGCGAGGTGGGCCAATCAAGACCTAGTCTGATGCAGTCAGAAAACATTTTGAACATATAGATGGACCAGCGATGTATAGTTTTAGATGGAAAAATGAATGGCTTCTACTTGCGATGGTGTCGGATCGAATATTACCAGCAAAGTCAACCCATTCAGCATATATATTTGTTTCAGCTGTAAGACTCATTTAATCTGTTTTTAATATTTATAAAATTTAATATATATATATATATATAAAATTTATAATTTAAAAAATTTTAAATTTAAAAAATATATATATTTATTGTATAAATTTAATATGATATATTTAGTTTAGAAAATAAAATTAAATAGATGGAATTCAATTGAAAGTGTGATGAATTTTTCGAGAAATTTGGCTAAAAATTTGATGAAGGTAAATAAACATACGAGCCAAAGGACGTTTTATAATATCGCAGATTACAAATAACTGAACTGCCAACTTCTAATGGTCCAAACGCTCGCATATTTGATATCCAGTGTGATGTCGCATAATTAAACGGAACTATATAAGCGGTTTGTCGTATAATCACTCTATAAAGAGAAAAATCACTTTTCAAATTTCAAATTTTCAAAATCAAATTTATTTTTAAGAAAAGTGAGTTCTGCTTTAATTTTTAAACCAGTATTTATTCTTGTAATGATTGGTCGGTGCGATTATTAGGGGAACTTAATTTATAAGTGCTTAATAAGCAAACAAAGAGTAGTGGCTGGTACTTTTGCGTTTCTTTCAAGCAGTCATCCACCGAGATTCTTACTTCGCTAGGATTTAACGAATTTTTCAGTTGATATACATCCTGAAGCATTTTACTATCTGGTTGCAGGAAATATTTGCTGGAAAGATAAAATTTAAGTTTCTAAGCTTGAGTTTAGTTTATTTGGTTTATTCGGCTTATTCTACAAATTATCGCTTTTATCAGCGAAATCATCACTAGAAAATTTTAAGTCCTAATTGACGATTTTTTAAGCTTCTGGGTCATTGAATTCAATTTTAAAATTTTCTTGGAAGTACATTTTCTTGGGACTACTAAGGAACGATTATTCTTATTTATTTATTTTTATAATAATCAGTTCACCGTCCATTAAAAACGAGGTTACACTTCCACAGGGAAAAATATAGGATGAACGAAAATTCCTGAACAAAAGGCACACCGACTTCGATTCTATCCGAATAAGTTCTAAAAATTAATAAAATTAATAAAAATTAATAAATTAATTAATAAAAATTAATATTCCTTTAGCTGTCTACTTAATTTAACTTAATCTGGATTTATTTCTGCAGTGTTGTCGGATTCATATGGTATGGCAGCACATTTATTTAATGAAGATTTATCATCGACTTGAAATATTTCACTATTTTAAATAAATTGTCTAATTTAATCAAATTTAACAATAACAAAAATCAAAACTAGCAACGATTACTTCCTAAGCAATCCAAGTATTCCTCCTATTTCTTGAAAATAGAAGTGAAATATGAGTTTTGCAGTATTTCTGCAATGCAAATTATCTTAAGAAGAAATCATTTTTTTATAAATCTATTTATAAAATTTTTTCGATGATTGTGATTATGAAGATGAATTTACTTCGTTTAGTTCAGAGATCTAGAATATAAATCTTTGGAACTAATTACAGCCAGGGCAAGTCTAACCAGAAACATTAGGCCTTCACCACTAATATTTATTTTTTTTTACAATAATCTTAATAATATTAATATTATTAATATTGATTAAATAATTATTTCGCAAGTCTGCCTCAAAAATGAGAAATGGATGAAAATTCGCTCATTAAAATAATTCCCAAATATTGCTATAGATTCTCTATAGATTCGATGACCCGTTCAGCTATCGCATTATCCGAACAGCTTAAATAATTAAAATAATTATTCAAAAGCAACTAACGAAGCAGTCTTCTTATATTCTATCACTGGCGATGCTGCTGTTTCATCCGATTTTGCTTTAATATAAAACGTAAAACTAGAATTTTACATCGTTTTTATCTATCGCTGTTTTCTAATTGATTTAATTCTACTGTTACTAATTAATTAATAAGTTATTATTTTGTGTTTCAATCCTGAGTAAGTTAATCAAGTGATATGTTTTTTTAAATTAATAGAATTTTGTTGAAAATAGGAAAATCAGAAAAAGAAAATGAAAAAACAAACTGTTTGCAGGAATCGAGAATCGCTTTAACAAAAATAATCGTCCCCCTCTCGGGATGTCGTGCATAGTTTGATGTTTCATCTTTTAAATCTTTCTAGAAATCTTTAAAAGCTAAAAGAAAAATCGAGATTCGAAAAATTTTGATGGCAGTCCACCTGCATATCGGCGAAAATTTCATATTATACCAGCAACCAGGGCAAGTCTAACCAGAAACATTAGATTCACCACTAATATTTTTTTTTACAATAATCTTAATAATATTAATATTGATTTAATAGTTTAATTTGGTTAATTTTAATTTAATAAAATATTTTTTAGTAATAAAGTAAATAATAAAGTAAATAAAATAAAGCAGATTTTGTGGAATGAAATTACAATTTGTACGAAAGAAGAAATTTTTTTATCAAAGTTTCATTCTTCAATAAATAAATTAATAGATTAATCAATTTTTTGCATTTAATTGATTTGGTAAAAAATTTTTATGCTTGGAATTTTAAAATTCTCTTATTTAAAAGCTAACTGAAGCCTATTCGTGGATGAAGCTATGATTTGGAAATTGGCGATCTTTATTGACTGTTATCAAAAAAGGATTTTGATTTTCAAACTAGATTTTCAAAGCTCATAATAATTGATTTTAATACGTGGCTATCAAGCATTTGAATTTATATTAATTTAATTCATAGAATTTATTTGTTAGTAGAAAAAAGTAGAAAAAATTAAAGTAAAACAATTAAAGTAATAAAAAGTAAAATAATAAATGAAGTATAATAATTAAAATTAAATCAATGTTTTTGCATTTACTGAACTATTTGCTAATTTCCTGAGTTTTCACGTTAAAACGTTAAATTTGCTTAGTCAAATATTGCCTGTCTTAATTCTTCCTGCCAAATTCTAAATAATGAAAAATTTTTATGCCTGAAAATCATTTTTCATTTTACTTAAAGTGTTGGAATTATTAATGAAACAAAATGTGTTTTAGAAATCGAGGAAAATTCAAGAATGATTACCGTAGACTTACAGAAGGATGTACTAGTAGTTTTGCTTTATGTTGCCCTAAGAAAAAGTGGCACCTTTGGGCAGATATTCCTTAGGTGCTCGAACTGCTTCTGATTAAGTATCATTTGATATAAAAAACATATAAAAGCCATTTATATCCAAAAGGAATTAAAAAACTAATTTTTACCTTCAAGAGGAAACAGTTTTCAATATATAATGAGATTAATATAATCGACCGCTCGAAGTTGCCAAACATCATTTTAAATGATTTTCGAATTTACTTTTATTAATTTTTGAATTTGCTCATAAAATTTTGGTTTTCTTGCTTCAAATGCTTCATTGTTTCTTTTCTCTTGAGAATTAAATAAAATCTTCATTGAAATTCAAATTTGCGAAAAAATCAAAAAGAAATGAGTGAATAAAATTATTTTTCCATCTTCTTATTGCAATTTTTGTTTCATAAGGGTCGATGCCAAAGAGTTAGTCGGGAAAAGAAGTGCAGATACCATCTCTCCAATACACCATCCAGAATGTACAAAGAAAACTACTTTTGCAACTTTTCGCCTTTAATTTTATTTCCTTTCTGTAGATCAGCGCTAAAATTTTACCAAAAATAATCTCTCTTATTTTTTCACGTCTCAAAATTGCTTTAAAAAAAAGCTCATCGACTGTTTTTCATTTCGTTGAATAGCGTCTAAATCCTTTTATAGGCTTAACTCGGGCTTATAGGCTTAAGCAAATACGGGTTTTTAAAGTGCAAAGACATTAATTTGAATATAAAATTTATTATAACACGGTTGACTGTCCTTTATATTTATTTTTGCATATTTTGAAATTACTTTTTCTCTTTTGTTAATTAATAAAATTACTGCAAACTGGTTTAAATTTCATGGAAATGTGTAGAATAATTATGCTATAAAATAATAAAAATACATAGATTTATAGATTTATTGCACTTAATAATAGAAACGTATTGCACCAAACGCACGATCATATGCCAATTAAGGCTAAGAGTTAAGCAAAAATTTAGAAAAGAGTGTGAGGAACTGAAAGGTAGGTCAGAGGTCAAATGTTTTTAAGCTTTATTTTGATTGCGCGTCTTGAGAGAAATTATGACAATAACTGCAGCAATAAGTGCAACTGCCATTCCCATGAATATCGAGAAACCGAATGGCGACATACATATGCCATCCTGGACAGTGGCTAGTACGACTTGTTGTCCATGATTAAGGCGAGCTCGATAGCGAAGGTCAACAGGGAGAGCTTGATTCTGCAAAAATTAATAATTTCTGTTCTAATTTCACATTTTTAGCAATGGTTTCTTTGAAAATAAATAATCTTTTTGAAGTACTAAAACCGATTTCGAAGAAAGGCAAAACATACGCTATCGCTAATATCGAGAGTACTGATATCTGTGCGCACATCCATGGTGTTTTCAGAATCAACGGAACGTTTTTTGAGGAGACGAAGTTGAGCAGCAGGAGCTGGCTTAGCACCAGCACCAGCTCTTCTTGTTGCACCGAATCCTTGCGGTTCTGAGCACTGTGGTCGAGCACATTCAGCATTAGGTTCTTTAATAGCAATACTAATCTGGCACTGATAGAAGAGTTGCGAACGATCAGCATATTTATATACATGAGCCTCTTGTCCAGCCATAAGGTCGGTTGGATATTCAAGATTATTCAGAAGGAACTTGTCTAAGGCACAACCGTCGGAGTTCAGGATCTCAACAGTATCTCCATTACCATCATCGACAAAACATGAGTGGACAACAGCACAGAACGTATCAACTGTTTCAGAATCGCAAGTCCATTTATGATAAACTTGTTGGCCAATTGTCGCGAATTGAATTGGCTGTCCTGTAGGTCCACCATCAAGGATCTAAAATCATTTAATGAACTAGTTATGACAAGTTTTATGAACACATTTTTATCACTTTTATAATTGTATTTTTTGGCACTTAAGGTCTTAAAAAAGCTCTTTAAAAAAAGCATACATAAGTTATCCAAACTTTTTGTTTAAATAGTGCTTTAAAAATTAGAAAAATGAAAGCTTTAAAATTTCACCTCATATCTACAAATAGGCATGGGGACGATCTGTGTTTGGAAGGCAGTTGTAATCTCAGATACTTCGATTTGGGTGCTAACAGTCTTGTCGGCTTCCATATAGAAGCATTGAACTCGATATGCGCGATCGACTTTGGTGAGGAATAAAGGATGGAATGAAATAACGACAGTTGTTGTTACAAAGATTCCTCGAGGGTTTAGTGAACGTGTACGAGCGACATTGCATGAGTCGAAAGGTAACGAAATACCGGCGACTTGCCGCCCTCCTTCATCATTTCGACATCCTGGTTGATCATATAAACCTTTGACGTATACATGACCCTCAAAAGGATTTCTCGTATTGAAATTGACCGTAATTGAAGTTGGACCACATTCGATTTCTGGTTCACCTGTAATTTTAAAGCATATGCGGTAGAGTCAAATGCAAGACGTTTCGAAGAATGTTGAATTTACATTTAAAAAATGAAAATTATCGATTCCTCTCTAAAGATATCGAAAAATACAGAGAAAATAGGTATAATAAAAAAAGAATTTTATCAGCCAAGAAGGCGTCACCAGACGCGCTGGTAAGGTGGCGTTCTTTTCTCAAATATTTTTCTGCCCAATCTTCATGACAGCCAACAGAATAAACCTAACCAGAAATGTTGAGTGCTAATCATTTACTTCGAATCTATGTGATCTTGCTATAGATGAGGAAAAAATAAAACCTAAAGAATAAAAAAAGTCCAAACGATTATGCAAAATCAAGGAAGTCAAATAAGCCTGACAGAAAGAAAAAAAAACCTTCAACTCCATTATCTACTGGAATCGCAATCGCGAGACCGATGAAAGCCGCCACGAGTGCGATTTGACGGAACATCTTCGAAAGATAATGATTCTCCAAATCATTTCCATTTATATATTCTTGGATCCGAGAATGACCCTTGATTGAGGTCATCAAAGCAACGCGGACGATAGTTTCGGAAAATCCTGTTTTTATCCGAAATTACGCAATATAAACGAATTTTCACCATTTAATTGATCAAATGTTTTATTTAAAATCCGACTGAAAAAAAAAAAACTCTCTATTCTTCTTCACTAATTCTCTGAAATTATAGGAATTTCGAGATTATATTATTTCTTCCGATACAGCTTCCAGATTTCCTTCTGGTCAGTCATCAACAGCGCTGTCCAAAATATCTTTTGTCCTACAACAAAAAAGAAAAAAGTGAAAACACCCTAAAAACCTTTGTCTTTCTCCTTTCACATTATGATCGTTCACTTTCATTCTGTCATACAAAATTTTGGAGGTGATTCGCGAATTTGATTGATGCGTTTTTTTGTCTTTCCTTGCATATTAACAAAAATGTCGCGTATCCTCAAATTGTCACTTCGTTTTTGGTATTCCTTTTGTGAATCGTTTATTGCCATTTCGTCAATTTCTTTTTTTTTGGAACACAAAAGTGACAATAAATATCGAAAGCAAAATCGGAAAAATGTCAAAATGACATTATCGTACACCGATTAAATAGAAGTAAGAATATACAATTATGACATGTAATTTACACGAAAGCAACGAATAACCAAAGAAAATTAAGAGTTTCATTTATTTTTATTTTTGCATAGAAATTTATTTCGTTATCACTTTCTATTCCATGAAATGTAATTTTCTTGATGTAATTTTCGAAATATTTGGTATTTTCCTCTTCTTAATTCTACTCATTTCGCGTCGCTTGAGGATAGAACTACAAATGAGTTCATTGTTCGGATTTTCATTATTGAAGTAGCGACTCGATAGTAGAACATATCTCGGTTCAAAATCTATAAGAATCTTTTAGCTCTTACGAATTTTATCAAATATTTTAATTTGTTGGATTCTGCCGTGCTTTTTATTTAAATTGATAATCTGCACGTTATTATTTGCATTATTGTCGCATATTGTAATGAGAAAACTAATGAAAAAAAACCTAACCTTTCATATTTTTTAATCATATTCACTAAATTTCTCATTTTTTTCAAAAGGCGTTTTCATGAAAAAAAGGTACTTTTACAAAGGTACTTTTACAAAGGTACTTTACTTTTACAAAGGTACTTTTACTTTTATATATTCTCAATTGAACTTCGTCTTTTTCTATTCATTTCCTATTGTCTTTTCCATCGCTGGCTTGGCTGGCTCTATCCAGACTTTACAAAAGATAAATAATATTTTTCATAATTTTTTTACAATTTATATTTCATAAAGTTTGTAATTTATATATAAAATTCATATATAAAACGTACATCATAAATAAATATAAATTTGTATCGCAAATAATATCCAATAATAAAATATTTCTTTTTTTTGGAATAAATTTTAATTTTATTGTAATTTACATACGCTGTTAAATACGCTGTTAAATATTTATGACTATGTATTCCTATACTTTACTGGATAACTTCATTAACAGATGAAAAAAATATATGAAATAAAAAATTGATTTGAGATGGTTATGGCAATGGTATAATATTGATAATAGTGATAGTGTTTCTGGATTAACACATAGAGTTGCAATAAAATTTATGATAAATTGATGATTTCGTTTATCTTTAACGGGAACAATAGGAAATTTAAGGATTTAATAAGAAAAAAACGCGAAAAGAATGAACAGCAGAAAAAAAATGAGGACATAAAATTTTTTGCTTTGATCGGCATCAACATTCATCATTTCATTTCACGTTCCGTCAACATAGGAGAGAATTTTTATCAGAATTTAAAGACAAAGAGTTCCGTCCGTCCGATTCTTCCAAAATTCTATTATTGTCATCACTTCTTCTCATCTTCCTTTCTTTTTCACGAACTGTTTTTATTGATTGACCCCATTGAGAATGATGGAAAATAAAATTTTTTTTGCCTTCATTAGTTTTCTATTGCGTTATAGCAGAAAAAAAACTGGCTTATCAGTTGTAAACCTGGCAAGTCATATTGTAAAATTTTTTGCAGAAAAGTTATCGCATTTTTCGCACTTTTTCGCTTTCATTACTTTTTATCGCGCGATTTTCACGATTTGCTAACAAAAAATTTCAAGAGAATAAAAAGAAATTCGGATTTTCATGTAAGACCATCGAATTCTTATTTCGAATTATTTATATTCTTCTTTTGCCATAGTAATTTTGAAAATCCCTAGTAATTTGTTCTTCCTTATTAAAATTTATTAAATTTACGGTTTTTTTGCAAGTTACAGCGTTATAAACCATATGATTTCTTTTTAGTGATTCAAAAAACCAATTGGCACTTAATTTGTCACTAAAGACGAATTGAAAAACCATTAAAGATGATATATTATATCACTGAAAACGAAAATGTTCAAATCATTTACGAACAACTGAAATAAATATAATAGTTGGAACTGGTTGTTGTTCACCAATAATCAGTCTCAGACAAAATCTGTCAAAATTTTAAATAAGGATCTAGAGAGCTGAGAGAATATTTTCCTGGAAAATTGCAGGATCCCTTGCAAACAGCACTTTAACATAATTTAATTTATCATTGTAAGGATTGCAAAAAAAAATAATTCGAAAATGGATGATTTCGAAATAACGAAATATGAGAAATTTTCTGCAATCCTGCAAAACTTAAAACTTACCAAAATGATTTTTGCGTTTAAAATTAGAGATTCTATGAGATTTTATGAAAATCATCGATGAAAAAAAGATTTTCAACTGACTTTAACTTTCTTGAAGATGTGGTTTCAACCTTATTTTTTCCATATTTTTTGTATTCTTTGTGAAATGGGTCAAATTAGTTTAAATAGCATAGTGCTTAACGATTTCCTCATAATTTCAATTTTTCCCTACCATTTCTTATATATATATATATATATATATATATATATATAAACTAATTTTCACCACAATTTGACAATCACGGATTTGCTGAATTACATTTACCGCACCACATAATTTTTCACTGAAAATTTAGCTTGCGAATTAGCTTAAAGCTCTGTGCCCACCCTACTTGGTTCCTTCATGCGAAATAAAGTTGGATAAATAGATAAGTGAAATTTATAAAATATCAGTTACAGACATGCATTTATTATTTATAGGAAACAAATATATGCCCGTGGATTTCATCGTTTTAAAAAGATTATCTCTATTGTTTGCAAAAATATTTTTGTCCGAAAACAATCCATTACAAATGAATGAATGGATAACATTATTCTTGAATGGTCTAAATTAGATTAAAATTAAATTAAACCAAATTAGTGATGAGTATTTGATGAATATTTAATTATAAATCATATATCACATAAAGATTGAAACCATGTAAAATTTTCTTCAATGATGGTCACTTCATTCTTTACCTTTATGAGTACCAGCTTAAGCTATGTTTTTGAATGTTTCTCCCAAGAATCATGGAACATTTCTGGAGAATTGAAGAGAAAATTGGATGCAATAGGAAGGAATCGCCAGAGAAAGAATTTACAAAAATGAAAAAATAATTTTTCTATTTCGAGAAAATTTTAAGTGTGCCACATAAAAGTCCTAATTGTAATTGAGGAATTTTTAAAAAAGAAGTGAACGATCATATTTGATAAATTTTTAGCCGAATGTGCAAAAACTATTTTTTTTTCGCAAAGTACATTCATAAAAAATCCATAAAATTCTTCGAAACAGTATTATTTTATAACAGAATTTGAATTTCATTTTTTTTCTTTTTTGAACACTGCGATATTTTTTTCTAACTTGGGAGGTAATTTGTGTGAAAACACGACATTAATGCGACTTTTGTGAAATGTAATTTTTTTAAAACTATACTCTTCTATAAACTATATTAGCAAGAAATGTTTTCAAAACGAATAGAAATATATTTTATAGTTTTTGTCATTTATGAGCCCACAATCAAAGAAAGATTTGATAAAGAATAGCAGTTATATTGCGGTTTATAAAATAGTTCAAAATAATTTTTCATTAGTGAAACATCCAAATGGATATGGAGATTGGTCTGTCCATGGATACACTTTTAGGCTTCATTTCATTTCAGATCTAGATTTCATTTTTTACAACAAGTTTACTCCTAGAAAAAAGAACCCATAGTTTTAGCAATATATCATTCGACCAACGACTATTCAGTACATACAGCTATTCAGATTATTTGTCCTTACCATTTAATAATTGATAAAATTACAAGTTACAACAAAATATTTTGATGATTTTCATGAGACAAAAACCCACGAAAAAATAAATCGAAATAAAAATAACTAAAATTCTTAATAAATAAAATTCTTTTTAAAATATAAAGTATATAAGAAGCAAAATAAATCTTTTTTACAATAATAAACTATATATATATATATATTAATGTTATTAATATATATTAATAACATTAATATTTTAGTAATATTATTAATATATTATCATATTATTTTATTTTAATTTTAAATATTATTTTAATATATTATAGCATTAATAATATTAATATTTTGCAATATTTTAGGAATATTAATACATTAATAATAATTGATAATAATAATCTATTCTTCTTCTTCTAATAGCTCTCACCATTATTGCTTAAGTCTGCTCCGCTAGCTAAAAAGTAAGACGTCTCCAAGCTGTTCGGTCCGACGCTATCGCTAGTAGAAGGCCATTCCTTTTTCCATCGTCTAAGTCCATATATCGCTGGTCCCCCTATGTTAATAATCTTTCATGACTGTATCAGTCCAGGTCTTAACTAGCCCTCCTCGCTTTTTATGCCAACCATCATGGAGTTTAGCAAGTAATGGGTTAATTCCTGTGGTGAACGACGGAGAACCAATGAAGGCGACGCTCTGTTATTAATATTATTAATACAGTTGGTAGTTGAGCGAAGATGGATACAATAATGTACGATAATGTACAATTTTA